AGACATAGCAAAAAGAGATATCAGCCCCTACCACTTTTCCCATGCTGAAGTTGGACCATGTTGCCTTCTCAGTTTACACCCTCTTAGTAGACATCATGGCATTGTCGTATTTAATTCCTAGATTCAAAACTGTTGTTCTTCATATTTAAAATATCCTAATACATATGAAGCAAACATAGATATACATGCTAGCAATTTTTCTCAGGAATAACTTCTGATTAGTGAAACAGCTATGTGTAGTTCCTTTATTTTTTCCCTTCCTTTTGCATGTCATCATAACTTACAAAGAATCTGTGCTGCTATATTACAAGAATTGCTCACTGGCAAGTCAAGCAAGACAATGCACATATGATACAGGCCTTCTATTTTTTTCCAGTTGTTTAATGACAAAATCATACATAAAATCAGTACTTAAAATTCTGATGTTTTATTCTGTGCAAGTAAAATTAAAAATTTAAATACAAAATAAGCACATTTTTAAAAACAAAATCATAGGTTAGTTTTACTCAATTAAGACATATTAAAATAAGTAGCAGCTTAGTATCGAGACGTTAGTGTGCACTTCTTTAGTTAACTGTTACTTTCTTTAGATCAGAGTCAGAACTTCACATTTCTTGTATTTTGATTCATTGTTTGACCTGGATGTCTTAAATCCGGCAATAATTTTCACAAGATACAAGCCCTTAGCCGATAAACATTGCCACTGCATTAAGCATTACAACATAAAACAAATATAGCTCACAGATACTTGCTTTGGAGGGCACGTGAGTATTCAAAATATTTGTAGTGGATTCCTCTTTTCTTAAGGTAGCAGTTGTGCTTTGAGGCATTTTGGAGTAGTTTGTTGGCATTCCACTGGTGATACTTAAAGTCATAGGAGTAGTGAATGATCCTGTGGAACGAGTCAGGCTTGAGTTCACCTCGGTTGAATCTTTGATGTAGATTGTGTGCGTGGCTGCTGCTTCTTGAGAGCTCACCTTCCCAGTTGTCAGATCTTCCGGATAGAGGAGGAGGGGTCGGTCTGTGCTCGTGAACAGTACGGTTTGGCTTAAGGTCGCCAGCGTAGACGCTTCCTTAGCTTTAAATTGTTTATGCATTTTTGTCATTTTGGTGGGTTCAGTTGCCGCTGCAGAAGTAGCTTTGTCTGCTGCCTTCATTCCTTTAATCATGAGGCTGGCGTCTGTAACTGTGGGAGCTGCTGGAGTTGATGTGGCGTTCATCCAAAGCACAGATTGGTTAGCACAGGGAGCCCCTATAACGCTGGCAGCTGTTCCCTGCACCCATTTAAGCAAATACGGGATATTTTGTTCATCGCTGCAGGACCACGGGTTGTTGTATAGTGTTACTACTTGCAGCTGAAAGAGCTGGTCAAAAGCTTTGTCGGGAATGTATGTGAACTTGTTGTTGTGCAGGTAGAGGCTCGTAAGGTGTTGTAGTCTCACCAGTGTTCCTGGAAGTATCTGGGACAAGAAGTTACTGGATAGATCCACCGTCTCTATGTTGTAGGGCATATTGGTTGGAACTGTCCAAAGTTTGTTGCTACTGAGATTGAGCAGCTTGAGACTGCTCAGTGTGTTGTTGATCAGAACAGCTCTTTCCACCACATTCCTGGAAACATCAAGCACTTTAAGATTCCACTGGTAAGCTGTGTCAAGTTTCTGAAGAACTTTAATGTTGTTGTTCATGGCATATAATTCCCATAAGGACTTGGGCAGATGAGCAGGAACATTCTTGAGCCAATTATTTGAAATATCAAGGGTCCTCAAATTGGTGAATCTCGTTAGCTGATGATCGAGATCTACGAACTGGTTAAAGGACAGATTTAAATATGTAATGTTGTCTTGAAGTCCATGTGGCAGCATAGTTAAGTTTCTGCCTGAACAGTCCACATTCCTGTCATTTCCTGAGCATGTACAGTTAGAAGGACAGATACCCAAACCAGTGGGTATGAAAAACAGAAGGACCAGCAGACGGGTAGATGTATTCAATATCTGGTATTCCATTGTTGCCTGGAAATAAATATACCAAAATGACACCCTTTAAATCCATGTAATATATTTTATTTCTTTATAAGGGTTGTCTTTGCAATGACCACTTGCAGGAGAAATTAAGTAAAAATATCAATAAACCCCTTTGTGGCATGGTCCTTTTTAGAATTGTTCAAGAGAGACTTTACAAAGCATCCCTTCATAGACTGTCATGTTGTCTGGCAGAATGAGACTTGTTTTTTCATCTCCCTTTCCCCCTCAAGCTCAAATGAGGGCTTTCTTCCGAAAATGCAAGTCTCTTCCAAATGTTATACAATGTCTGCTTCTTGTTTTTAGTGATTTCAAGCCTATATTATGTTTGGGATAATGTGTTCTTTTATACAGGATGAAAAAATGGCTGTCAACTGGATCTGCTTTACAAATCTCTGCAGCAATGTAGCAGTCCCCCCCCCATACATGCATGGTATTTGCTTAAGTAGAATTGGTTAAAATACATCTTAAATTGTTAGGAATTTAGTTGCAAATCCAAATTCCATGTTCATGCTAACATGCACATTATTATTTTTCCTTATTATAGTGTTAATTACATTCTCAAAGCTGGTAACACATGTTTGAAAGCTGAATTAATGTTAGTAAGAAATCTCTGACACTGCAGCAAATTTCTGGTGCAAGCATTTGTCATCAACTAATAATTTCGTTCTTACTTCTGTCTCTAATTTTGTAGTAGGTTTTTGTGATTAGAAACAAAAAATACAAACTTACCGTAATCTCTTCTGCAATATCAGCACATCGTTTCTGTGAAAGATTTAAGCTTAGAGGTCGTCTTGTTCTAGAGAGTAGCTACAGTTGCTGTCTGTGGATTGTGCTTGCCTCTTCAGCTGCATCGTATTGCTGCTAGCTGGGGCTCTGCAACCACCTGATCTGCACTACATTGGAGGACTGCAGAGCTGTCGTTGGTGCTGACTCAAATTTATTGCAAAGCGAGCATATTCAATAAAATAGTTGTTTTTTATAATTTGAGTCACTTATCTTCTCCATATCGATATTTTATGCTATGTTAATGCATCATAGCATGTGAGATTGCCTACATAAACAGTACCAAGTGAAATTTCTGTAGGCTATTTTAGCTTAAGCTACGATTCCATTTAAAAGTTCCTATTTAAAAAGTCATGTTAAGTTGTGTTCTTTTTTACCTTCGATTAACCTCTTCTCCTGTAATAAAGGTTCATGTTAATTTAGGCTTCCTATCTTAAGCTTTTCTAAGCTACGCTGCCAGAATATCTTTTCATAATTTTAAAATGTTCAGTTTTCTACTCAGATCAGGCTATCACTGTATTGGCCGGTATAATATAGCTCAGCTTGTAAGATTTTGCAGATTTCTATAGGAAATCTTGATCTGAATTTCTCCAAACAATATGGTAAGAGTGGATATAGTTTATAATGCTGTTAAATTTAACATGGTGTAATGCAACAAGCCTTGAAAAAAATCTTTGTGTAATTAGAATGCTATTCTTAGGCATGCACAATCATACAGCTTATATAAATGGTAAGAAGAAATTGTAAATGTCTTTTCCTATGTCCATGGTATGCACAGCAGCCTAGAATTGCATTTGCATAACTTATGACTTCAATTTTTGCTGGTAATTTAAAGATTTTGAAGTTTATTGTTATAGTATATGTGCAAACATGTGCTCTGTGCAACATCCACAAATATGTTCCCTCCCCAAGCAAACTCAAAACTACACTCTTTGCCATTTTGCAGAGATGTCGTGGAAAGCTAGCTTCAGCATCTAGCAGCTTCTTTCTGTAGATCTAAGCGTTCGATACTGGTAAAAAAAATAAGAAATTTCATTCACCTCCGACACCACCCTCCTACTTCTCACCAAAAAGTTAGCTCATCAAAACGCATGGGTTTAGCCGGGATGGTGAGATTCGCTTGGACTCAGGGCCCAGAAAAGAACCTGTAAAACACGTAGTCACCTGGAGTTAAAAGGAATCTGGCATCCACGCAACATTAAATTAATTTTTAAAGTTTATATTAATAATATTGAGTGCGTTCTGAAAATACTGCTTCAGAGGAATAACTTAGTGAATGTGCGCAACTATTTCTGCTAATCATTTGCCTGGGTGTTCTGCAAACTGTTTCTATTTTATCCATAAAAATCGAAAGTATTTAGGTAAAAGAAAGCCTTTTTGTACTTGTTCTTCAAGCGTTTGGAGCCATTTCAGCTTTTTAGTGACCACTGTGTTAACTGTTTACTCTCACTGTTCTATGCTGTACTAAACGACAGTGTGAAGAGACTGGAGGTTTCTCACCAGTGAACTTTTTGGCAATATTTGATCTAAAGGAAACCTCCTTGCTGTTATAAAGAACAACGGGTGGCTGTTAAGAGGATTTGTCTCGGATACCTGTAGTCCGTCGTGTCAAGTTGTTACCCAGTCACGTGCAGAAAATGGGCCGTTGCATGGAAGGCGCTAAGTACGCGTGTCGAGGCATTTAGGCTTGGTTTTGCATTTGAAGCTTTGTATCTAAGCAAATGCTCAGCTGTGCTTTAAGTGACCGAAACATCTTTGAATTAGAAATCTTTATTAGAGTTAACTTGAATTCATTGCATTCGCTTATATAGCCTAGTAGAACAAACAATGTTTAGAAGCTCTGAGTACCTCTAAAGCCATACCGTTTCTTGAAAGCTCCGTGTCTGTGTGTATGCTACATGGATGTATATCCTGACACGCAAGGGTATGCGCGCGCTGTTTTCTGTAGCCTCCAAAATCTGGAATCGCTAGTTACAGACAACTAGTGGGCACAATCCGTATTGTGTTTCGAAATTACTTGCTTCGGGCAGAAGCAGGTTGTTCCCTTGTGTAAAAGCTGAAGTTAAGAAGCAGTGGGGAAATGCCCGTGCCGTGGTCTCACTTTCTTGCCTGTGTCAACTTCTCCTTTTTTCGGTTATTGAAAGAATACTTCATTTAAGAAAAATGTGAAGTATGCTGGAAATCAATTTTGGCAGCCTACAAAGGGTGTTCTGGCTGGGGCAGTGCTTCGTGATTCTCTTGAATGAGCAGCTCAGGTGGTGGGGGCAGTTGTTCCTCTGTTTCAGAGTGAAATTCCTGGTGCTTGCCGAGGTCTGCACTGTGATCCTCTGCTGGTTCCCTGAGCCAGTCAGGCGGAGGTGGCAGGTCTGGGGGTTCAGGTGAAGCCGCCAGGTGAGGGCAGGAGTGGCGGGCGCAGCTTGCCGCTTCCGAGGTGGGAGCGGGAGAGGCGTCTGCGTTGGAAGCCGAAATGCCGGCTGCCGAGCAGTCTGCTGCTGGTGGAGGCAGCTGGCTGTTTCCATTACTGGTAGTGCAGCTGGATGGTTTCTCGGATGCAGCGGGATCGTTCTGTAAGCTTGTGTCTTGTTTCAATTTCCACGGCAATGTAAATAAAACTGATGAACGTTTGGTAGCCTGGTCAGAGTCCATAAGGACATCTGGTGTGTCTCCATCTGCAAATGGAGATCGACCTGCCCAATTTGAATCAACCAGAACTGGCCTCTTGCAGCATTTCCACAGAAGAATTATAATAATAGCCATTATCATACTCATCAAAATTATGCCAATTATCAGTGCTGCTATCCAGCTTCCATCGCTAGGTTCTGCATATGCTGTGGGGAGCGGAGGTGGTGTCGTAACGGTCAGTGCTCTTCCAGATTTGTGTAAACTGGGTCCAGTTGCTTGCAGTCGATACAGAGGAGCTTTGTCTTCTGTTGGACTCCTGATACCACTGTATGCATTTATTTTATTCATGGAAACCTTTTGAGGTATTGCCGTAGAGAGTGATTTCCAGATTTCTCCGTAGAAGAGAAACAGTATTACTTGGTTGCTGGCCATTTTCCTGCAGCCTCTTTCAATATGTCCT